AGCTCATGAACAACTCGGTATTCGGTAAGACGATGGAGAACCTGAGGAAACGCGTGGACGTGAAGCTGGTTCGGTCGAATGAGGAGGAAAAACTCAGGAAGCTGATCGCTAACCCTGCATTCAACCGTAGTAAGATATTCGATAACGACCTGGCTGCCATACACATGAAGAAAAGTCACATAATATTAAACCGGCCTGTTTACGTTGGGATGAGCATCCTCGATTTATCCAAACACCTGATGTATGACTTTTATTACAACGAGCTGAAGAAACAGTACGATGACAGGTGTGAAGTGCTATACACTGACACAGATTCCCTGCTGATGGAGATTCGAACCGAGGACGTGTACGATGACATGGCAAAACACCTCGATTTGTCGACACCAGCGATTACCCTAAGGATCATGCCATACACGGCACGGTAAATAAAAAAGTCCTCGGCAAGATGAAGGACGAGTGTGCTGGCACGCCCATCGACGAATACATCGGTTTAAGACCTAAGATGTACTCTATCTTGAAGGCCGACAATAGTGAGATCCGGAAGGCTAAGGGCGTCAAAAAATACGTTGTTAAACAACACATCAAACACACCAGATTCAAGGAAGCCCTGTTCAAAAACCCGTACCTTTAAACATAAAATGAACACACTTAGAAGTGATGGGCATAGGATATACGGGCTGACTATAAATAAAACATCATTATCCCCTATGGATACCAAACGTTGGATAGCTATTGATGGAATAAACACGTATGCGTATGGACATGAGAAAATTGAGCCAAGAACATAGATATATATGTCACGGAACCAGAAAAAGTTTGAGGATATTTACTATAGCCCGCGTGGATATTGGAAAGGAGCAAGCGCTGTAGATAAGCTGACTAAAATAACACGAGTACCCCAGGAGGAGGTCAAAGCGTGGCTTGAAAAACAAGCACTTTGGCAGATATATTTACCACCACCACGCTATGTGCCTAGAAGGAAGTTTGGTATTAATATAACTAATAACGTTCACCAAGCAGACCTACTATTTTTACCTCACGATAGGGTGAGACGTAAAACCTACAAGTATGCCCTGACTATCGTGGATGTAGCCAGCCGGTATAAGGAAGCTGAACCATTGACCACGAAAGACTCGAATCAGGTGGCTCAAGCCATGGAGCGATATACAAGCGCCAGTCCACTGACGTGGGCCTACTGTATTGCAAGTTGACCCTGGTCGAGGAGTTCATGGGTGTTGTATCACAGTTGCTGGCTAAGCGCGATACAAGGGTTAGGCGTGGTACTGCCGGAGCCCATCGCAGAGTCAAGCTATAGTAGAGAGATTTAATAGGACTTTGGCTGGCGTTTATTTGGGTATCAGTAATGCGCTCAGGAAATAAGTCTAAATAAACCCAACACCGAATGGGTCGCGCGGCTCCCTAAGGTGGTGTCGGCAATCAACCATGAAATCACACGACTCACTGGCAAGACACCGGCAGACGCTATCAAACTAAAATCAGTGATAGCCGAACCAGCTGCTCCATCACGGGTTGGTAAGGAGAAACAGATACCCGACCGAGCTCTCGTGAGGTATCTATACCAACCGGGAGAACATGAGGGTGATAGTCGCAAGCGTGCCACCGATCCTATATGGTCAGTCAAAACTTACAATATAGATAAGGTAGACATCAAAGCCGACGAACCTACCTTGTACTATTTAATGGATGGCCCCGGCAGAGGGTTTGTAAGAGAAGAATTATTAATCATACCGTATGATACAGTATTACCTCCCGTCAACACGACATAGAGGCAAGATACCCGGTGGAGTTCGTATCCCACTATAGTAGAGGTAATGGTAAGGGTCCCCAACAAAGTCTTATTTGTGAAATAAAGCTTTGTAGAGGGGTAGTAGAGGGTAATGGGAAGGGTCCGACTAAGGCTTCATCTATTAAATGAAGCTTTAGATTACCCTGGTCCAGAATTCTCATTCTGTCTACTACTCATTATGTAATTACACAGACAGGCAGGTGTGATACTTGAACACATGGCATGTTATGATGTCTGTTGATTGCAAAATGTTATACACAAAAAATGAGCATGTATTTACAAAACCGCACTTTCTATATATACACACACATTGACCCGTGAAGGCGGCATCTGCTAATGAACCAGCCGTTACACTTGAGTGCACACCCACCCGCTCTGACTGGGTTCGGTATCCCGGCTGCTTCGTTTCGAGGGAGGTAAACCCAAGTACAAAATATTGCACTTTTAATTTGCGATTATACACTTATAATTTTGTTTATTTGTTTTTTCATAATCAGCAATGCATATTATATGTCATGAAGAAGTGATAATTGTGTTTTAATTATGTTTGATTTTTTGGTTGCATGTGACCTTTAAGGAAAAGCATGATAAATATGCGGACCTCGCCTTTGAAATGTCTCGCTTGCATCCCAAGTACACTGTCGTCAGGCTCCCCATTGTTCTCGGTGCCCTTGGTTTGGTACCTCCTGATCTCTTGGCGCAGATCAAGAGAGTGCCTGGGTTCTCCACCGGGAGTACAGCCCTTCTGACACTCTGGGTAATGCAGAAGGCTGCAGTGTTGGGGAGCCTTCATATTCTCCGGAAAGTTCTTGGTGGGTTCGACTAGGCAGCGTTTCCTGGGAGAAGTCCCATTCGCTGTCTGGGCTGCGTGTAGAGGGGACAAGGGCCCTGAGCTGATGATGAGCCTTACCAGCCTGACTGTGCCAGGATCACCCAAACCCTCTCTGCTGCATACTATCTTTAATCTGTAAAACATAATAATAATAATAATAATAATAATAATAATGCTAATTGTTGCTCCTAGAATCCAACGCGATGCTGTTCTCTGGTGTTACATTATTACCCTGACGGAATTGTACTTTCAAAGCTGCTACAAAGCGCTAAGCGCGACCGTATAGGTCCGTACACCCGCTTTTCAGGTACCAATTTTAAACAGCTGGGTGGACTGAGTGCAATGTGGACGAAGGGACACAAAACAGTATGAGACCCAGGTCACAAATTTTGGTGTCTCCACCGGGATTCGAACCCGGGCCTTTGGCGTGAAAGGCCAGCATGCTAACCACTACACCACTGTGCTCCACATGTGGGTTCGAATCCCGGATGGGACTCAACCCAACAAAAATACTAGAATCTGTACTTTACAAAGAAAATGTAATCCCAAATATAACACATGTTACATTTCACCGCTTTCTAACTGGCATTGTATATTATAGCTTTCGGCCGTGGGAGCCGCGCCAATAAACACTTATCAGAGGCCTAGGGTACACAAAGTCCGCAATCTAGACTACCAGTTGTCCGACTTCCACTTTGTGGAAGCCGCGGTGGCTGAGCGTTCTAGGCGTCTGGCTTTGTGTGTTGCGATTAGGTGCCTGACTCTGAGGGTGTGGGTTCGAATCCCGGATGGGACTCAACCCAACAAAAGTACTAGAATCTGTACTTTACAAAGAAAGTGTAGTCCCAAATATAACACAGTTTAAAATCATTCATACATTATATGAATTAATTTAAAATTTCAATTCTATTTTACATTAAATGAAGAACTCTTTGAATTGATTCATAAACATTCAACACCATTATTTTATCCTGTATGTACGTAGGGGATGTGGCTACAAATATTCTATGAGGAACTCCTATTAAAATCATATGTGAAGCCTTGGTTTCATAACCTATCAGCTACTCACCTAAGCAAACATAAATATTTCTTTTTTAAATCCTGAAAGTTCATCAAAGTTGTATGAATTCCAACTGAGAGCGCACTCTTAAAGAAATCTAAATGGATGTTTCCTCATGTAACAAGTCACACAAAAATGTCTATCTGTCCAGATTTGATCCCAGTATATCTGTGCATCGACATTTCGCGCCATTGTTGGTGCAAGTGTAGTTGCAGCCAGTTTCAGTATAAGTTCAACTAATGTACTTTTAGCATTCAGAACAACCACCTAGACGCGTAAAATGTCAAACAGCTGTTCACTGAATTTCGAATCATTTGCTTCTCTATAAACGATGGAGTCTGACCATCAAATAGCATTACAAATGGCTCTTGCAAGCATTGCTTGCAGGCAAAGACCGGTTTCTAAGTGAGTGAGTTTGATTTTATGGCGCTTTTAGCAATGTTCCAGCAATATCACGACAGGGGACACCAGAAATGGGCTTCACACATTGTACCCATGTGGGGAATCGAACCCGGGCTTCGGCGTGACAAGCGAACGCTTTAACCACTAGGCTATCCCACCGCCTTGGTTTCCAAGGGCCTATTGTAACCTGGGAGCACCACAGAGGGGAAATTGCAACTGCAGTGACTCAAGTCCACTTCCAATGAATGCGGACACATGTACATACTTAAGCTTGCCATGTTGGCGTCCTTACAACATATTTACTGAAAAAGAGAAAACATTCGGCTTCTCAATTCAGAAGAACGTGCTGTGACCGAAACACACATTACAAACAAACGTATGTTTTTTCTTTTTTTTTTTTGGGGAGTAATTATCTTTTCATTTCAGAAAACCCTGTTACAAATTGGGGTAGAAGCCCCATCAATGAAGGGGAAAGAGATTGAAGCAACAGGCTTCTGTTTTTTGTTTTTGTTTTTGTGTTGTTTAAAGACTTTAGATAGACAAGCACATTGCACTCACTCACACATTCACACTGATATTATAGGTAGCAAATGAAATTAAAGTATATAGTATATAAGGAAAAATGACTAGCACATGATGGATAAAATGACACTTTGATGTTATATACTGTGATATAGATTTGGCTGAGAAGTTTGATATGGTGTAATACCGATGGCTTGGAGTGTACTACTGGTAAACAAGAGCATGATATAACATCCATTTTTGACAGAATTTAATGCTTTCACTTTTAGAGAAATATCTTGTTTTCTCAATCTTGTACCAATTATGAGACTGTTGAGTGAGACAAACAAACGTTAATGCGCATCCATAACTGGTCACACACTTCATCATTAACTTACGAGAGGACTGTTTGATCGTCGCAACTGTGTAGTCATACTTCTCTTTGCTATCTACTGTTGCGAGTCGAAAGTTCCTGAGCTTGCAAAACGATTTGGATGAAGCCCAGTTATTCAAACCATCGTTACTCCTGATGCTGAAGCAAGCTTTACTGATCCTGCTGTAGATAAACCCCTCTCTGAAGGAGCAGTCTCCTGAAACAGAAATAAGTGAGTGGTTTGGTTTTACGCCGCTTTTAGCAATATTCCAGCAATATCACGGTCGGGGACACCACAAATGGGCTTCACGCATTGTGCCCATGTGGGAAATCAAACCCGGGTCTTCAGTGTTACGAGCGAACGCTTTAACCACTAGGCTACCCAACCGCCCCGAAACCCAATGAGCCAGTGTCATAGCTGAAAACATCTAAACCATTCAGAAGGAAAACAGGAATATCAAAATTTCTAGTCGAAATTGGTCTTTAGCATGCTAACAATCCATGAACCGTGATGTTGAGGAAATTGCAAGTCTTCAGTATGAACCAAAAGAGGAAAGTCAATGGCGCCAATGGCGCCGTGATTCCAGGTGATGGACTATAAGCTGTTTTCTACTTTAACATTCCTAGGACCTTAACATTGCGAGGCAAATGATTACTGTTTCAGTGAGTAAGCTTTAACGAACCATTGATTTATCTACAATGCCAGGAAGATCGTCTTGATAAGCCAAATGGTTAAAACTTTCGCTCATGGGAACTACATGTGAAGCTTATTTCTTGCGTCCCCTGTAGTGAAAATTCTTAATATTAAAAAAAAAACATGTTATATAATTATGGATTACACTTTCTCAGTAAAGTAAAGTAAGGCACTTCATCGCCAGCGCAAAAAGTCAGGCATCCGCTGTTGATTAGGTGTCTGACTCTGTAAGTACGGGCTCGAATCTCGGTTGGGACACAACCCAACAAAAGCACTATAATCTGTACTTTATTGAGAAATTGTAACCCCAAATATAACGTGTTTTGTTTGAACATTGCTAAAATGACAATACTCAGTCATTCAAATTTCCAATGTTTATACGTGTTGTGTCTGACTAAAGGTAAATGTGCACTTCAATATATTCCCAGAGAAAACAGTTGTTCTTCGAATTGCTCGAAATTGGCAAGAAGCATGACATATTCGAAGAAATTGTTCACTTTAAAAGGGGAGACAACCAGACGCTCATTATTAAGTGCAGTAATCAGGGGGAAAATACCTGTATACATCCTACTGAAATATGCCTGGGGGGAAGTAGTGAGTGAGTGAGTTTAGTTTTACGCCGCACTCAGCAACAATCCAGCTATGTGGCGGCGGTCTGTAAATAATCGAGTCTGGACCAGACAATCCAGTGATCAACGACATGACCATCGATCTGCGCAATTGGGAACCAATGACATGTGTCAACCAAGTCAGCGAGCCTGACCACCCGATCCCGTTAGTCGCCTCTTACGACAAGCATGGGTTACTGAAGATCAATTCTAACCCGGATCTTCACGGGTTCGGGGAAAACAACAGATGGAGAGCTATAGATGTGGTTCAGTCTGGCACCTTGCAGCATGATGCTGCTCGCCAATTCAACACCCAAAGAAACACCATTTGGCACTTATGGCGACGTTTACAGCTAAACAATCAAGAAATAGACTGTAAAGGTGATGGCTACTGACGACGACCTAGCGTCATGACAGAAGGATTTAAACCATGCACCACCGACACAGGACTCGGCCATTTTCGATGCCAGAACATCGACATCTCCAGTGGAGCAGACTACAAATGCGATGGGGAGTACTTGGGTAGATGAGGGTTCACTTCACCGATGAGTTAGGTTTCCGTCTTTACAAAGCTGACGGCAGGACACGCGTCTCTAGACGCACAGGTGAATGTTACATCAGGCCATGTCTTTTGGGACGGATTCGTTTGGAGGTGGACTGTGTTGGGATAACAGCAACAGCAGGAACGCCAGTGATTGCTATTGAAGGGAACTTCAAAACTGTCGGGTACCCAGATGAGATTTTGTAAATGGCAACTTTACTATATTTGCAACAGAACTGCCGTGGAGTTTCGTTTGCTAGACCACTAGGGATGTGTATTGGCAAATAAATTGTGTAGCAATATATTGCGATTCAGGTATCCGTATTGGGAACTTAAGTGTTCGACAGAGAGTGACACTAATTGTGCATGTCAATCCTATTTTCTACATTATAAGTCACTAAACATATATGTTATGATTCTGAACATCAGTCTCAAAATTAGGTTGCACAGTCAGGGATTCTATTTTGTCTTTTATACAATTTATAGTATTACAATACCGTATGACGTTTTGTCGATGAATAAGGAAGGAAAACATTTGTTTTAATGAAAGTCTGTGCAGATTTTTATTTCAAACCAAAGAAATAATCACAAAACCTTCATATATCATCTTTGCCCCATATACCAGTTCTCAGAAAAAAATGTTGCAATACGTATTGTTCGGAAGCTTATTTCCATATACCGGTATACAGGTAGTACCGTGCAGTCCTATAGACCACACGTTGCTCGAGTTGTATATGTTGCACTGGTCTGCAAGATACCCTGTTTTGTCAACCATTGAACATGCCTGGCATGGAATGGAGCAACGTTTACGACCTTATCCGAATCCTCCAACAACACTGCGAGAACTTCACCAAATCCTTCCTCAGATATGGAATGATCATTCCCAGGACTTTCTTAGACGTTTCGTGGGTGCAAAGTGTGAGTGAGGTTAGTTTTACGCCACGTGGGTGAAAAGAGGCGAAGCTGCCAGGCCTGCATTAATGCATAAAGTCGACATACCGCTGAACGTGTGAACTTTTGAATCCGGTTGTGGTTCATCTGCCAGGTGAGCTGTTCTTATGGAATGTTGATCGTTACCATACCATATGACATTTGTCTTTCTATGTAATAACATTTCATTCGCCGCAGTCTTACTTTCTACTGGTTCTGCTTGTTGTTTGTGTGTCATAAGAGTGAGTGAGTTTAGTTTTACGCCGCACTCAGCAACATTCCAGCTATATGGCAGCGGTTAGTAAATAATCGAGCCTGGACCAGACAATCCACTGATTAACAGCATGAGCATCGATCTACGCAATTGGGAAATTGTTACAAGGCCTTTTGCATAGAGAGTATAATAAATTCAAAACGTTCGAAACGTTTCAAATTATATCCACGTCAGAAACGAAACAGCAGACTGAAGTCAATTCGGTCTCAATCAACAATGATGGCTTCACAGACTACATATACAAATTCTTGGTTAATTGAACCACATTAATAATTTTTTGGTAACATGTCAAAGCACTTAAATATGAATGTTTTCTTTTTGGATAAAGATCAGTTGTGTTAACAATATAACCAATGTTAACAATATAAACAATGTTAACAATATAACAATATAAACAATGTTAACAATATACACAATGTTAACAATATATACAATGTTAACAATATAAACAAAGTTAACAATGTAAACAATTTTAACAATATATACAATGTTAACAATATATAAACAATGTTAACAATATATACAATGTTAACAATATATACAATGTTAACAATATATACAATGTTAACAATATAAACAATGTTAACAATATATACAATGTTAACAATATAACAATATAAACAATGTTAACAATATATACAATGTTAACAATATATACAATGTTAACAATATAAACAATGTTAACAATATATACAATGTTAACAATATAAACAATGTTAACAATGGATCCGCTTTCTATATATACTGGACAAAATATGTTAGGGATATTGGTATTTTTATGATTGATATTATATCAATGTGTCAATGAATAAATATATCATTATTCATAATTTCAAAATTTACATACATCCCTAACTGTTTTGTCCAGTATATTTCAAAGAGCCAGTCATGTATCATTCCGCATCATTCGGCTACCATCAGACCAAACAGAGGACCACAGAGTGAAGCAATAAATATCTTTATGCTTACCTGGGCTAAAATACCTACCTTCATCGTAAACGTAATACTTCATTCCTGGACTGTCAGTGCCGTCATCCGGGCTGAAAAAGATGACGTCATGGAGACTACAGTGTCTTGTGTTCTTGTTGTGGAAGAAAGAAACGCATGCTTCAATCTCTGAACAGAGCTGAGCACAATGTACCATGCTTCTGGTGGACCCATTCTTAATGATCCTGCTAGTTCTGATCTTGTCCTTGTAGTCCCCAAGGTGGGCGAATTTGAGATGCTGCACACTTGCCTCGGACAGCTGTAACCTGGAACAGATGATATGAAATTACAGCACATTAAATTTGTAACTTATAACGAAAACTGATGGATATAGTGCACTGTGTGTGTGTGTGTGTGTGTGTGTGTGTGTGTGTTTTTGTCCCGATCCCTTCTATATTTTTATCGAAATTCACATATACTACTGGAATAAAGTAACTGTGCATTATTTGATGTTATGCCATCTGAAACATAATCTTAAATTTAGAAGTTCCATCAAAGATATGGATACGAAACCAAATCATCATTTTCAGCCGAGAGGATAAGTCTTGTACTCCCATGACGATTGCTAGAATATTGCTGAGTGCGGCGTTATACAGCAGACAAAACAAAGAAAATATTCACTGCGCATATATGTAGTTGATTTACTTTGTCAATCTCAAATTTGATTAACGTGTAGATTAACGTCGGATTTGGTGACGTATTAATTATGTGCCAGGTTGATCATTATTTGTCACAACATTTTAGTTCTGTTTCTCTGCATCAAGCTAATCATGCGTGTTACCATTGAAGCAGACACGACATCATCCATTGTAGACCTGTCAAGATCCGGGCTAGAACTGATGCTTGTCGAAAGCGGTGACTGACGGGATTGGGTGGTCAGGCTCACTGACTTAGTTGACACGCCATCGAATCCCAATTGCGTAGATGGATGCTCATGATGTTGATCACTGGATTGTCTGGTCTAGACTCCTTTTTTACAGACCGCGGCCATATAGCTGGAATTTTGCTCGTAAAGGTCATACACCAATCAATCAATCAATCGATCAGTCAGTCAGTCAGTTAATCAATCAGTCAGCCAACCAGGTATCAATGCATTTCACTTTTTCCATGACCGACTCTACTTCCTCTTCTTGGATTATTGTTTAACGCCGCGCTCATCAGTATGGCGGCGGTCTGTAAATACTCGAGTCTGGGCCAAACGATCCAGTAATCAACAGCATGACCATCCATCTACATAATTGGGATACGATGACATGTGTCAACCAAGTCAGCGAGCCTGACCACCCGATCCCGTTAGTCGCCTCTTAAGACATGCATGGGTTGCTGAAGACCTGTTCTAACTCGGATTTGATTGAAACATATTTTATTCAATTAAGAAACGGATTGGGCACAAGTTATCCAACTTAAATAAGCCCTCTCCACATAGTTACAAGTGTATATTACAAAAAAGTTCAACAAGAGGCAGACAAAGGGTATAGATATGTACAGAGTTATTTAAATCGTTTAGTGTTATGAATGTAGATATGTACAGATTTAAAAACATTCTGATTTTCACTAAGCGAGAGACCTGCATTGTCATTTAAGATGAGATTAATATCAATACATGCTCTATTATTCACTATATTTTCTAAAGAGGTTAACATTTGTTCTCTTTGAATTATATATAATGGACATTCAAGAAAATAATGAAAAGCATTTTCACAATTATGGCCACACTGACAAAGTGCATCATTTCTAACATTAATTCTGAATAAATCATAATTAAGTGTACTTGTCATATATCTTAATCTTGTATGCAAAACATTTAGTTTCCTTTTCCCATATGAGAAATATACGGGTGCACATTTTTGTTTCACATGAACTGCAGTTTTAAAAGACACAACAGATTTACAGTTTCCGATAGCTAAGGGTATGTTATTCCACAGTTTAATTATTGATGGAAAAAATGATAGAGTCGAATATCGTAGTCTTGTACAGGGTTGAGTGTAATTACTGGAGTTTCTTAATTCATAATTTGTTCGACTACCTACTATAGGAGGGAGTAAATCATAAAGAAAACTTGGAGCAAGGCCTGTATGTATCTTATAAAATAACGATAATTTTTTCACCCTTCTTCTCTCAGATAGTAAATCCCATCCCGTTTCAAAGTATAATGATCTAGAAGAAGCATATCTCTGCAGACCAGTAACTATACGAGCCGCTTCAAGTAACTTTTCTAATCTATTAGATTCTTCAATAGAACACCCGTCCCATACTTCAGATGCGTACTCGAAATGTGGTCTTATGAATACAGTATATATGCTTGACAATGTTGTTCTATTCAGGAGAAACTTTAACTTTCGAAATGCTCCAAACATTTTAGAAGTCTTTTGAACAATACTTTCATTATGATGGTGCCAACCCCCATTACATGAAAATGTTAGTCCCAAATGTTTATGAAAGTCAACTGGTTTTACATGACAATTGTCAAATTTCAAATTAATGTCTGTTTGGCCATCTTTCGTCGTAAATAGCATAGCTTCCGTTTTGTCCGGATTATAAGAAATTAGCCAGTCATTTGCCCAATTACATAATATTTGTAGATTTTCATTCATTATTCTTTCCATCAACTGCTTTTCTTTTGACAAAGCTCCCAGTGACGTGTCGTCAGCGAAAAGCCGAGTTATACAATGTAGTTTATCTGCTATCTCATTTACATACACAATGAAAAGAAAGGGACCTAAAACTGATCCCTGTGGAACTCCTGCTTTTAAAACCAAAGGCTTAGATAACGAGCCATGAACAGAAAGTGATTGATTGCGACCACTTACATAACTATCAAACCAATCAAGTAACTTTCCACTTACTCCGTACCTCTCCAATTTAAGCATAAGCCCTCTGTGCCAAACTCTATCAAAGGCCTTAGATACATCGCAAAAGACCATACAATAGTGTTCTTTGTTATCGAGTGATATACAGATTTGGTTATAAATTTCAACAAGTTGTTGTACAGTAGAGTGGCCTCTCCGGAATCCACATTGATATTTATATAACAAATCATTTGACACGAAGTAATTGTAAATATGTTTAAATACAACTCTTTCAAACAGCTTCCCAACACAACTTATAAGTGAAATAGGGCGATAATTTGATACAATTGAGTGATCACCCTTCTTGAATAGGGGCATAACATTTGCATATTTCCATTGGCTGGGATATACTGATTAAGTAAGTGACATGTTAAATAATATGCACAGTACTGGGCTTATAGACTCGACCGATTTTCTAAGTAACTGATGACTAATCTGGTCTGGTCCAGCAGCTTTCTTGAGAGGTAGACATTTAATTCTGTCGGAGATCTCATTAACTTCTATTATGTTATCTATAACGGCATCCGTGCGCCTGTCAAAATGTGGTATAGATTTGTTATCTGCACCAGTCAGATTAGCAACAGATTCGAAATATTGATTTAACATGTTGGCTTTATCTACATCTGAATAAGCTGATGGACTTTCCTCAATAACACTTCTTTTTAGAACGGGAATAGTAGAAGCGGAACCTGACGTCTTGATCAAACTGCGTAATATTTTCCAATATGATGATTTATTTTCTCCATAAAGCTCGAATAAAAACTCATCAAGATTAGAATAAAAATGTTCTTTTGCATAACATTTCATTTTATTAACTTTATTTCGTTGTTTTTTGTACTTCAAAATATCAGACTCTTTCTGTGTTCTGATGGCTCTTTTCCGTAGTCGATCCCGCTTCCTACTTTCACGTCTAATATTTGAATCATACCATGGTTTGTCATTAGGTCTTATCAGCACAATTCTAGAGGGAATACATTGTTTGGTATAATCATTAAAACGTTCATAAAATGCACAGCAAGTATCATCAACATTAGAACAGTCACTAAACAATGCCAACCAATCAGTATTGCTAGTAAGTGCGTTCAGCTTCTCATAGTCACCATCTTTGTAACACCAGACCTTTCTAGGATATGCAATCTTAGTTGACACATGCACATCTAGGCTGACAAACGTGCCTTTGTGATCACTTATAGTTCTGTCAAAATCGATAACACCACTTTCTACAACCTCAACATCATCACTGACTATAATTGGATCTAGTAGTGTGCTGGTTGTCCTCGTCACCCTAGTAGGTTCTGTTATAACGTTACATAAGTTATTTCTGTTTAGGATATCTGTTAAATTAAGTTTAGATACAGAAAGTAGATTTTTATTCAAATCACCAACAATAGTAACTTTACTTGAAATATCTAAAGCACCTTCGATACTATTATCAAATCTTCCCCAAAAATTAGATGTATTACTTTCTTGTCTATAAACTGTACATAAGATGAGTGGTGTTTGTGGAAGCGATAATTTAACCCAAATGGACTCATCAAATATGTTTTCTAGATTGTAAATTCTATCAAAGCTTAGATTCTTAGAGATATACATCATTACACCACCCACGAAAGAATTTCTGTCTCTTCGTATCAGGTCGTGAAAATTTTCCCAAGCTAAAGTTTCATTATCAACACTTATATCTAGATGGGTCTCAGAGAAACATACTATGTCATATTCAGATAAAAATTCGGACAGATAAGATTGCTTATTACGTATACTTCGTGCATTCAAGTGAAAAATCGACAACATGTTGTCTTTCTGAACAATAGGACCTTGGTTAGGCCCTACGTCACCAGCAAGCTGAAGTAACAATAGAATAATCAAGGTTATGTTGACATTTGTAACTTGTGATTGAAGCAGACACAGAAACGTAAGCGCACAGCAAGCTTTCAATTCTAACAATAGTAAACTGCACATAGCCTCTGCTTCATCACTTAGTAAACTGAAAAGTACATTTTTGTTAGCAAGTAGGATACCGATTTTGAAACATTTCTTGAGATTTCTAGAGCACTTGAGATGTCTGAACAACCCGATCGCCGCACGGTATTGCGTTACGTCATTACCCATAAGGCTTGTTTACTTCGTGTTGATAGATGGTACATGTGCGGATACTAGATCGGGTTATTTGCAGGCATGTCAATGAATATAGTTGTACATGATGGCATGGCAATGCAGGATCGCTCAAAGGTTCTAAAGAAGATAGATGAACATAGAATATATACAGTGATTCAGTGATGGATACAGATGTACACGGAGATATAGTTTGTGGAATATAAAAACCAAAGGTGAGATAAAGAATAGTATATACAAGCAATAATGCAAAACATAAACAAGTAGTGAGATAAACTAACTCGGATCTTCACGGGTCCACATTT